AAAGTACTAAATGAAAGATATAGATGGGGCGACAGACCAGGAAAATACTTAATGAGAGCTCTGAGTAAAAAGAAAATAGAAATTATATAGAAAGGATAAAAAACCCTAAAGGAGAGTTGGTTTATTCAACCAAAGACATTATTAACGTGTTCACGGAATACTATAGAAAACTGTATAATATCAGTCCCCATGGCTCTTCAAAGGAAAATGTAAAGGATATTAACGAAAAAAAGGATGATATATTTAAAAAATGCAGGATTACCAAAGTTAAGTGAAATACAATTGAACACCTTGGACGCGGAAATTTCCCAGGATGAAATAAAAGTAGCATTAAGAAGTACAGGGGGTGGAAAAAGTCCAGGACCGGATGGGTATACAGTTAAGTACTATAAAAAAAATATAGTGAAATATTGTTACCTAAGCTGAAGTATATGAACGACCTGGGAGGAGGGATGGAGGGGAGAAGAGAATCTCTTCAGGCCCATGTTGTACTCATTCCCAGTGTTCTAGCTATAGACCAATTTCATTATTGAACACCGATACTAAGTTGTACGCAAAGGTTCTAGCAAATAGGCTGAAAGATCTAATGCCTGAATGGATTCACGGAGATCAGGTGGGCTTTGTCCCAGGGAGAGAGGGTAGAGACAACGGGTTGAGAACACTGATGCTCATTCAGAAAAGTAGAAAAGGGAAGGCCCCGACGGTACTATTGTCGATTGATGCCGAAAAGGCGTTTGATAGAGTGGACTGGGGCTTCATGATGGACAACTTAGAAGTGTTGGGGATTGGAGAGAGAATGCGTGAGTGGATAGGTAAATTATATAGGGAGCCCACCGCAATTATCACGGTAAATGGGGAGAGGTCGGAATCCATTGGAATGTCCAATGGAACAAGACAGGGCTGCCCACTGTCCCCCTTGCTGTTTGTTCTCTCATTGGAACCCCTGTTGTCTACGATAAGGAATAGTGGAGCGGTAAAGGGAATCCAGATAGAAAATACAGAGCATAAAGTAGCGGCCTTTGCGGACGACTTATTGTTTTATGTAGACAACCCTCGAATAACATTACCAAATATAATGAAGATCTTGAAGGAATATGGCGATCTATCAAATTTAAAAATTAATCCAACAAAAACAGAGATCTTGAACATCAACGTACCAAAGAGTGAAAAGGAAAAGCTACAAAAAGAGTTCCCCTTTACATGGAGAGAAAAAGATTTAAAATATCTTGGAATAAAACTTGCTATCTCATATAAACAACTGTATAGATTAAACTATATTTCTTTGATAAATGAGATTAAGGAAGAATTAAAAATATTAGAAGGTGGAAACCCATCATGGATAGGACGTATAAACCTAGTTAAAATGGTAATCATACCTAAAATACTGTATAGATTCCAAATGGTCCCAATTAAACTCCCAGAGGTGTTTTTTAAGATAATGAAAAAAAATGTTAATAAGATATATCTGGAGGAACAAAAAATCAAGAATATCATATGAAATATTGAGTAGAACTAAAGAGAAAGGGGGAATGGGACTACCTGATGTCAAGAGATACTATAAAGCAGTAATTTTAGCAAGAATTTATGATTGGACATTCAACCACAAGGGGAAGAGTTGGGTAAAAATTGAAAACGAATTGAGTGGGATTAGTTTGAGTAAGATGATATGGGTTCCAGCACATCTTAGAAGAGTTAAAGAAAGCACAAGTATTTACACTTTAAATGTTTTAAGGGTATGGGATAATTTACACAAAAGTAGGAAATGGGAATTCAATTCTATATTAATGCCCCTTGTAAATTCTGATTATTTCCCCCCAGGAAAGGATGAGATATCTGGTAGATGGTTTAAAAGGGAAGATATCCAACTGAGAGATGTACTGGTAGAGGGGGAATTGAGACCATTTAAAGAATTAAAAGAGAAGAAGGGAGAAAGTTTTATTGGAATAGACGAGTGGAAATATCATCAGTTAAAATGCTTTATTGGAAAACTACCAAAACCCCTGAGATTAAAAAAGGATTGGAATATGTTTGAAAGGTTGTTGGAAACACGTAGAGATGGGAAACACGGAATTGCCAAAGTTTATAGAATACTCACAGAATTAGACACAGACACAAAGTTAATTTTTATAACAAAATGGGAAAGAGATATGGAGGTGGTGTTAGACGAGGACCAACAGAACAAGATATATAGATTGATACACGAGAATGTTGGTATGAGAGACGTGGAGATTAACTATAAATGTTTGACACGATGGCATATCACACCGAGTATTGAGCACAAGATGAGGGGGGAGAATTCTAAAATGTGTTGGAGAGGTTGTGGGGAGGAGGGCACGGTGTTTCACATTTGGTGGCAATGTCCGAAAATTCAGGCTTTCTGGAAGATAATAGTTAACTCAATAGAAATAATAACTGGAAATGACATAGGGTTAGACCCAACGATATGTCTCCTACATAGTGTTGGGATCACAGTAAATAAATATAAAGAATCAGGCGTATGGTACTATTTAAATGCTGCAAAGGGGTTGATACCCAAGTTCTGGCAAAAATCAGAGGTGCCGAAGGAGGAAGACTGGATCAACAGAGTAAATCAGATAAGTAGAATGGAAAAATCTTACTATATGCAGGAAGATAGGATGGAAATATACTATACAAGATGGGAAAAATGGGAAAAATCAGGACTGAAAGAGAAGTATAGAAAACTATAAATTAAGAAACTATTGGGCCTCGAGAGAGTATAGAACGTGCAAAGGGGAGGGAGGGGGAAGGGGGGTGGGAAAGGGTTGGGAGGGGAGGGAAAGAAAATATTTATTAGAAGGGGCAAGGTAGAAATGTATGGAATATTTATATGTATTGTTATTTCTTCTTATGGAATTTTTTTTGTAAAAAATGAAAAACTAATAAATATTTAAATGAAAAAAAAAAAAAAAAAAAAAGAGTCTCATGTACATGCGAAAAAGTATAATCTCTCTCCTTCATATTCCTAATTCTCTAGATGTCCACCAGTTGACACTCGTGCAACAGTTTCTTTAACATTCTCAAGGACTTGCTTTCCTCCCTCCTCACACAGGAAGTAGTGTCCATACGCGGGTCCATACAGATGTTAAAGTCTCCCGCTACTATCATACACCCTCTTTTAAAATCCATCAATCTCTTCAACACTTCTCTCATAAACATCTCCGGCCTCTTATTTGGACTGTATATGTTTGCTATTGTACACTCAGTTCCCTGTAATTTACCTCTCAAAAATAAAAACCTTCCCTCCAGATCCATTAATCTCTCCTCCACCTCAAACCTAATATTCTTTGCAAAGCCTATAGCAACTCCTTTTGCTCTTTTAATTGGTGAGTCCGCATAAAACCATGTTGGAAAATGTCTAGTCCTCAATCTAACCTTTGACTCTATCTCTAAGTGTGTTTCCTGCAGAAATACCACTGAGGATTTTCTATGTTGTAGTTCTTTAAATAACCTAAATCTCTTTCCTGGACAGCTTAACCCTTTTACATAACACAAAAACATTTTAATTGGCTCCAGTATAAAAAATTAAATTGGCATTAGTTTGATGTGCTAGCGAAGTGCTCCCAAGATGGCTGCCTCACCAATTTGATAAGTGCTGAGAGTCCCCAAAGAGAAACATTGGTATTTTTAAAAAAAAAAAATGCATGCATGGACATACCATTGGATGTTTAGGTATATGCATGTGTCCAAAATGAATGTGGCGTGTATTGTATTTTTATGTGTGGGTTGCCTATCATTGCTATTGCAACGGGAGCTGTCAAGCTACCTATATGATAGTATAAACACTGTTTAGGGACTGACAGGTGCTCTTTATGGTGACATTAGGGTTTTTTTTAGACTCTTGATGCCTCCTCTACCTCCAGCTACACAAAGAGTCCCTGATGTGCAGTTTACCCTGCCACTGCAGCTGGGATTTAGGACACCTGCTTTCTATCCTATTTTTGTGCCAAAAGCCAGGATAAGTCGCTTAACAAAAACCCCTAGGAAGAAAACTGATGATAAACTGTAACCAACCTTTTTAGCTCCAAGGAGCAGGGCCCTCCTATCCCTCTTGTATTGAACTGTATTGTTGCTGTATTGTCTCCCTTTATACTGTAAAGTGCTGAGCAAACTATTGGTGGTATATAAATCCTGTGTAATAATAATAATAATTTTGCCAAGAGATGCTGTAGGGACAATGGAGTATTTTTGGGTTTTTTTTTGCCTTTGGACATCTGACTTATACAAGTCATTGTTTAACAGGTAGCATAAACCAAAGCAATCCATTATGACAGTGTCCATTGTAAAATTACCATTAAATTGTTACTAAACCCACAACAGTAAAATCAGTCTGTATATACAGTAAAGCATGCTTGTTATACTCACTGTGGAACCTAAGGGGTTAATCCTCTGCATTGTGTAAAAATGCTGTTTAATGCTGACTTCTCTGATCCTCCCCTTCTTCTAGTGTTCCCCTCTTATCTCTTGATAAGACATATCGTATGTAGACACTCTGCACATGCTCAGTTTGGTGTGTATTGCTAGAGGGGTTTTTTTCTTGGGAGAGTGCATGTGATCAGCACGGGACCAATCAGCACTTTCCAGACAGAGGTCAGGGGTTCTGCATCCTCCTAGAGCAGAATGAAAACTCCTCCTACAAGCTTTAACCAGTGCTCTGCTGGACACTTATAGAAGTGACAAGCCTGCTATATACTGCTGATGGGAAAAGGTATTTAGCAGTTTATATATACTAAAATAATTGCATTTCCATGTTCTGTGTACTGTGTGAGACCAGATATAGTGAGTGCAGGGTCCTGTGTTTAGTAACACTTTAAAGTGGTTGTAAAGGCTGAAGGTTTTCATTTTACCTTCATCCATTCTATTTTCAGAAATGTTGGTAATATTCCTAATGTCATTTGAGAGCCACACATTATATTTTGGCCAGAAGTTGAGTACAGTTGGTCTAGGCAATACATCTATTGCATCTGTTGCTTGTTTCCTAGTGCCGGTCTGTAAAGATCACTATTCTTGGAGAGGAAGGTGTTCCTGTACAAGTAGATGGTGAAGCATGGATTCAACCACCTGGGGTGATTAAAATTGTGCACAAAAATAGGGCTCAGATGTTAACCAGGGACAGGGTAAGTGCAACCAAGATGACTGCTGAATGCATTTACTGTTCCAATTTATAGTAAGAATTTAAAGCCCAACTACAAGGAATCCCAAAAAAACTACTCTTGCAGTAGTAGCCCTGCATTGTACTTGATGGTGTCGTTGTGCAACTGCAGCCTGGAGTGACTAATAAAGGAGGCTGCAGGGGACAGGCCGCACAGATGGATAGGCCTGTCAGTGAGGAATAAAACAAGTATACTGCCATATTCCTCTTTCTAGAGCTAATGAGTGGAACCCCCACTGCAAAGGCTAGTGAGTCATTTGACAGTAAGCCCTGGTTCACACCGGTGGGACTTCAGGTGCAACGTTCGATTTACAAATCGCACCTGAATTTGCATATAATGTATTTCTATGACACTATCGTAATCCATGTGATTGAAAGTAGCACATTTTCAAAAATCGTTCCGGGATTGCTTTTTTCCTTTTTCATTGCGACTTGCATTGACTTATGTTAAATGAAGTTGCAAGCCACAGTGAAATCGGAGGCACAAGTCGCACTCATCTGCGACTTTGAAATCGGTGAAGTTGCACAAATTCATAGTCGCATTCAGTGTGAACCAGGGCTTGGTGGATTCAAACATTGGTCTGCCCTTTTCTATGTTTCTGTTTTGTAATTCCAGGAGTTGGGCTTTAATTTCATTTATCTTCAACCCATTAATGTTTGCTAGAATTAAAGTTCTCATTGCAGAATTCTTTCTGTTCAATTAGGTCAGTGACATGATGGTCTTCTCAGGCCATACTCTTTAAAATTCAACATAAAGGCTTAATTGCCATTAAAACACATTAAAGTGGGTATGTGTGGGGGAATTTTGCAAAACTTGAGCATCCACATTCTGGAGTAGTTGGGCATGGCAATCAATCGTCATTTTTCTTACATTTTCAAAGACTAACTAAGCAGATGATAGAAGCTGATTGGTTGCCATGCACAGCTGCTCCAGATTCTGTTTACTCCAGTTTTGATAAATGCCCTTCATTATGTTGCTGTTTGGTTTTTTTTGCTTTATAATGTTAGTGTTTTATAAGTTATTTTATGGTGGTGGTTTGATTTTCCACAGATCTAGATCAGGGGTGTCAAACTGGCAGCCCTCCAGCTGTTGGGAGTCATGCTTGTAACTGTCAATCTTGAAATGCCTCATGGGACTTGTATTTTGGCAACAGCTGGAGGGCTGCCAGTTTGACACCCGTGATCTAGATGTTATAAATTAGGACTGGTCTGCTTCCTGTTCTATGGCAGTGTGTGCTATGGAGCTGGAGCTGCCTGCTTTGGATCATTCTGATCAACTCACAAACCGGGAGGGTGAGGAGAGCTGTTGTATACTGAAAACTGCCGCAATTCGTCTCAGAACCCATGGTAGTTTGTTTCACTCTGAAATAGAAAAACTGGCGCAGGTGGTGAAGGTAGACCTGAGACATGTCTCTCTGTTCCATTAATGTGGCACATGCCACTACAGACAGTTTCCTGCACCAGTTTACTTACACAGGAAGCTTAGTTAATTCCCTGGAGTATTTTTTGTTTTTTAGAAATAATTAAAAGACATTAGTGTCTTACTTTCCCTTTTGATAATCTTAGCAGTTTAATCTTTCTGTGCTGCCATGGTCACATTGCTGTATTGAACCCATGAAAACGTGATGACATCGAAAGAGCAGGGCCCTCGATCCCCTCATGTTTTGCATTGTATTGTTACTGTACTGTCACATGTTCTGTCCCCCTTTGTAATGTACAGCGCTGAGCGAACTATTGGCGCTTTATAAATACTGTATAATAATAATAATGACACCTGTCACATTGTGTGATGTGATGACACTGGTTGTCAGTCTATATGCAGAGCTAAAACCTTTTTTTCCGTATATTGACTAAACTTTACTGAATAAATTCAGCTCCTTGAAAAATGATAATGAAAGTAAATGTGATGAATATTGGCACTAAGCATAATAAAAAGGATTGTTGCCAGAACAATTTCTAAAAACTAGCTGTTTTGAATAATGATATAGTCACCATATCAGAACATTCTTGTGATACTGTCAGTATAACTGCTTGCCTGTACGGGATGTATGGGCAAGCAGATATACTGACAGGAAGATTCAGTGAACTACCATGGCGTTCTATAGCACAGTGGTAGTTCATTGTGAACTGCAAGCCGACAGCCGCTAAGACTGTCATGGTTTGTAGTTCATTCAGTTTGTTCATCCAATGAAGTTCAAGCGTGTCTGTCTGTGGGCATACGCACATATTAGAACTGCATTGAGCTTTTAATCCTTGCAATCATAAGGTTAAATGCTTTGCAGGTTTATTCTCAAAAGCCAGATTTCCATGGATGTTTTCTGTAGTTTTTGTAATATTGAATATTTTATTACAGGCTTTTGAAAACACTTTGAAGTCTTGGGAGGACAAGCAGAAGTATGATTCCTGTAAGCCCGCACTACGTCCTCACTTGTACTCTCCACAAGCTGTTGACCTAGCTTCCGAGGAAGAGGTTGCCCTTATTCATCTGTGCTCACAAGCTGCTGAGGAACTTATCACAAGGTGGGCTATGTTTTGGGCTCAGGTCCCTGTACTGAGCAAGTATAACAAATACATACATTTGATCATGCGTGTGGGTGTACCACTGGTACAAGTCATAGGTTATTTTTGTTCATATAAATTGGTTACCTTAAATAGATTTTTCATCTGTGCTCAAATACCTTGTGTTGGCTGGTTGCTGTTATGCCTTATTTGTGTCACACTGAGGACATCTTCAGTTCTTAATAGGCATTGCATCTATTTAAGGTACACTTTAAGCAGCTTGACATTTGAAGGTCTCTGTGTAAAGGTATGTGTGTAAAAAGTGAAGTTCTATATATTGTAAAGTTTTTATAGGTTCATTATTCACAGACTTTTTTAGACCATGGGTTATGCAGGTGCTTGGACACTGTCAAATTAAGCTGTAAGGAAAACCTTAGCATAACCCTTCTCACTTCCAACAGTCCCACATTTTTTTGTTCGTGTCCTAAGGTATATGAACATCTTCTCTGTGCTTTGAGAGAAGCAAACCTTTTTCTTTGGTTATTTTATTGTTCTTTGCTGAATTTTGCATCTAAACGTATCTAGCAAGTTATTAGCTGATTGTAGTCTCTGTTGCTTACCATGTTCTGCTTTCCAGAACAGTTTCCTCCTTGAATGTGCCTTGGGTGACCATACTTAGAGACCGCCAGGGAGAATATTTGGAGTCCCTCTGCAGGGTTAACCCTCACTGCACTTTGCAGATCATAGGTGTAGGGGGAAGTTGGTCAGCATGCTTTGCCAGCTCACACTCGGCTTACAGCTCATGGAGGTTTGCTGCATGTTCTCTATTGTAATGGTCTTGACTCTGATAGTCCTAAAACTAATTTCCCCAGTTTGAGCCGCTCCCTTTTCATTGGCCTCCCTAGCTTTGTGGTGCTCCCCATCCTTTCCAGAGATTAATATTCAGCCACTATGTTTAATTTTATGTGTAGGCTTTTAGCCCTGTCAGAATCTTCTGAACACAGGGATCACATGCTGGCTCCCTGGGCCTGTCCTCCAGATGTGATCTCTATTCTTCTCTTACAGCTTCTATGCGTCTTGAAGAGAAGGACGAGGAAGGTTCCTTTATTTGTTTCAGAGGACTCCACATATGAGTTGATATCTTTCCCAAGCTTATGGTTACTATTTTTATCCTTAATGATGCAGTGTTCAAGTCTTGCTAAGTAACAGTCTGTGTTGGCCCAACACATGGTCACCAGCCACTTTACAAGTGCCTCAGCTGGCCAATACATTCCTTATGCACTCGCTCCTAGAGCCTTTTTTTGTCTCTCCCAAATACTTTGTGCAGCAATACACAATTGAGGAGGGATTTCTAAAGAAATGGACTGTCCTGTTATGGACCCAACCATTTTCTGTCTTTAACACAACCCGTTTAGTAAGTGCTTGGATTCATCAAGTTTACAGGAGGTAAGAGGAGTACCTTTTTTCCCCAGAAGAAAAAGGCAAACGCTCTTGTGGGCAAACAATCCGTTGTGGAGGCAAAGAATAATTCCTTTAGTTTCTCTCAGGCATCCAGGTCCAAATCCAAGCCTGGCTTACGTTTCTGCCATAAATCTTCTAAGCCAGCCAAGCCTTGGAAGGATGCCCTCCTCACAATGAGGGAGGGGGGAAGTAGTGATGCCTGTTGACCCAAGGCCATTTGGGCATAAGTCCTTGCAGCCTTCTGGGTCCAGAAAGTAGTAACTTGTCATCCTCCCCACAAAAGAAAGTGGATCATTAGGCTGCTCTCTAGCAGTTCATCTCACAGGGGGTCATTGTCCCACTTCTAAAAAAGGACAGGGTTCTCTAGATGCCTGTTTACTAAAGCAAATGGAGGAATTCATCCCTTCCTTGATCTATAGCTTTTCAAAAGGTTCTGTTGCATTCTAAAATTCCACCCTCGGACCTCTCTAGACATCCAGGATGCATACTTGCGCATCCCTATTTTCTGGCCAGAATTCCTACCCCCCACCCGCATCAACGCTACCTGCATTTTGCTGTGAGCACGCAGCATTGCAACATTACAAGCAGGGGCGGACTGACAACTCATGGGGTCCCCGGGCAATAGGGGATTAAGGGGCCCCTGTGTCCTTGCCCAAACTCAAAAAAGCCTATGAAAAAGGTACCGGGGCATCTCATGGGGCCCCCTACTGACCCCGGGTCCTCGGGCAGTGCCCGAGTTTCCAAATGGTCAGTCCGCCCCAGATTACAAGTTTGTTGCCTTTCTCTTTGGCCTGTCCACACCACCTTGGGTGTTCACTAAGATGTCACCTCCTGTACTAGCTCTGCTGGGCTCTCAGTGTTATCCCTGTTGTAGGATACCTGAATGAACTACTCCTGAAGGAATGGTCAGTCCAGGTCTTGTCCTTAATGTTAGTTGAAAGGTGTACACTCTGCAGAGATTTCGATATATCCTAAATCTTCGGAAGTCTGCACTTGAACCGACCCACCACATGGGTCTTATTCTGGACTTTGCATGGTCCAAGGTTTTTCTCCCTTTGGAGAATCTCTGCTTCCTTGTTAGTAGACCCTACAGTCTAGGAGATTCCTTACCATTCTCCTTTGCATGGGGGTTTTGGGTTTATGCCCAATTTCACTCCAGACACTCAACATTTATGCTGCGTGGGAGAAGCAGGCTCAGTCCTTGGATTGATTATGAGCCCATCCAACCAGTATTTGGTCACAGTGCCAGGTCTGTTGCTTACATCAACCATCAAGGGCAGGAAATGTTGCTTAAAGAAACTAAAACCTCTTAGCTTAGTCAAAACTCCACATCCTATGCCCTGTGAAGTACTCCAAGAAAAGGATTTTGCAGTCCTGTTTTACAAGTGTGTGTATGTTTGTGTGTATGTATGATTTATATTAGTTTGACTACAGGTTACAAAGACTGACCTTACCTGTATTGTAGGTTCTTGGGGGTTTTTTTTTTTTACACAGAACCTGAATTGGAAAAAAGCCTCCTCCTTCCACCAATTTGTCCACCTCTAGGCGTCTGCAGAGCGGTTCCCTTTTTTTAAATTTGGCTTGCTGAAAATCCTTTTGTACTTTGGTATACAAATATAACTCGTATGTCTTGGGCCATAGATTGGCCCCAGTGCTCATACCTCTGTTTCCTCATCACAGTGATGGGTGGGCTTATCAGGCAATAATTCACAAGGTGGGGGTAGGTAGTGAGGCTCCTTATGAGGGTATCTGGTTTATACCCATTTGGGATATCCCTGGTGCTGAATATAAAAGGGGCCATAATGTACAGGCACCAGGTGATCTCTGCGATGATACTAGTGCTAAAGATACTTCTGTGCCACTTCGGCTTAACATTTAAGGTAATCTGCAGGACCAAGGCAACAGGTTCATTTTAATTCAGACCTCCACAGATATACATACATGGATACTTATCTTTTTCACTCAATTTTGTTGAAAGGAGCATAGAAATGCAGGGTATTCTAAGCTACAGGTCACCAGAGTCATAGCTTACAAAGGGTTATGGATCACAATATGACAGCAATAATTGGCACATCACTCTCACATGAAGTGAGATACGTGCCCCTCAATTAGTAAAACAGAAAATAGGATAATGCACTTCCAAATCACATCAGCACATAAAGCATTAATTACATAAGTGCTAGAACCAGAGATTGGGTTTCCTAAAGAAAAACCCAAGAATAATGCACTCTAAATAAATAATAAGCAGCACACTCCAAACGGCTAGTTTTTCAAATTTCATGGTTATGAAAGGAAATGAGAAAGGCGTCTTTACCCTGAAACATTGCGACTCTTATCTAAGCTGAATGTAAGGAAAAACATGTTGAGATGACTATACTAAGCAACTCGTGTATACAAATTTGATATAAGATCATATATGATTGATGACTCACATGACTTTTTAATTATTGTAATGTTATGTGATGTTTAATGGACGTTTTGGAATACAAATGATGTATTTTACTGTAACCTTTGGATCTTGTCTAGCATCTTTTGGCTATTTGTGGTGCCATTGAATTCCCCTCTGGCCCATACATATTTATTCTCTTGTGATGCTTATCTCTATCTTATCCTGAGTGTCCACATGCTAGCTGAAGGGTTTTTCTGGTTGTTTCCTGGATCTTTTCCCTTTTCTAATGAAAATGTATATGACGGTTGTAGCTGATAGCTGCTTTTGTCTAGATAGAGGAACTCGAGAGATCTTGTGCAATATGCTCTTCCATATCATGTTCTTGCTTTGGCTCCTAGTGCTGAACTGAGCAACAGGGAAGGGAATAAAAGTTAAACCGGTTTATGTGTCCTAAAAAATAGTAATACTATAACCATTGCCAGAAATGGACACGAATTTACTTTATCACGAAATAAAGTACATATACCCAGCAAAACCTCATACCTAAGAGATTCTTCATAATCCTTTTATTGTTTGTAAGCATCTCCAAATCTGTAACACTATTTTTTTTTATGTTCAGAATATGCGAAGCTGCAAAAATCCACAGTTTGCTGGAACAAGAGCTGGCCCATGCAGTGAATGCTTGCTCACATGCACTAAACAAAGCCAATCCTAGATTTCCAGAGGTAAGTCTAGTCCTACAGGTTTACTTGAATTAACCATTCCTCAGATACATGCAATATGCTATGTATATAGTGTGTGTGTGTATATATATATATATATATATATATATATATATACAATAAGTAGTTTTGTGTGTATGTATATTCAGTGCACAGCATATATGAGTACACCCCTACAAATTTGTCAGAAAACCTTAAATTTCCTTTCAGAATCAACATTTTCTATGGGATAGTATACTACAAAATACTCCCACAAATGCCATTAATTGCAAACAAGATTTGTTAATTTGCACACACACAAAATTATCTTTCCTTACAAATTCATTCAAGACTATGTTGCTAAAATAAATACATCCCAATGAAAGTCTTAGGAGCAGAGCTAAATTTACAACAAAATCCTAATTAACAAGAATTTAACTACTGGTGAGTCTTAATTATTCATTAAACAGATGTCCAGCTGACCGTTGGTTATAACAGGGAGTTACTTAACAAGGAAAACCCTTCCCATTTCATGCTGTCAGCAATGGCATCACATGGAAGAGAAACGTCTGAGAAAGAATATAATTTCTTTACGAAAGAAAGGTGAAAGCTACAAGAAGATCAGCAGAGCTTTCCTTATCAGTCAGAATACTGTAGCAAAAGTGATACAAAAATTTAACAAAGATGAAACTGCAACCATCTAACAGAGACGTCCAGAGAAGTTAACACCTCAACAGGAGCATCTTCTGATGAAAAGGGTTGAAGAAAATCGGCATGCAAGTTCACTGCAGTTAGCTAAAAAAGTAGAAAATCAAACTGGGGTGATTTTCCCGTGACTCAATACAGCATACACTGCAAAGAAATGGCATGCATGTTGTCATCCACGAAGGAAGTGTCTCCTTAAGCCCATGCACAAAAAAGTCAACCTAGAATTTGCCAGGGCCCATGCTGAAAAAGAAGACTACTGGGACTCTATACTCTGCAGTGATGAGACCAAGATAAATGTTTTTGGAACTGATGGCTTCAAAACTATGGCTCTGCAAACATGAGGAGTACAAAGAAAAATGCATGGTGCCTACAATGAAACATGCTGGTGGCAGTGTCCTTCTGTGTGGCTGCATGAGTGCTGCTGGTGTCGAGGAGCATATCATTGATTGTATCATGAATTCACAGATTTACTGCTCTATATTGAAAGAGAAGATGCTACCATCACTCCATACCCTTGGTCGTCGTGCACTTTTCCAACATGACAATGATCCAAAACACACATCTAAGGCCACTGTTGTATTTCTGAAGAACAGGGTGAAAGTGATTCAGTGGTCAAGTATGTCTCCTGATCTGAACCCAATCGATCACCTATGGGAAATTCTGAAGAGACAAGTTGAGCATCATTCTCCATCTAGAATCCAGGCTCTAAAAGTGGTCTTTCTTGAAGAATGGAAAAAGATAGATGGTGCTATATGTCGCCAACCTGTTCATTCCATGCCTTGGAGACTTGATGCTGTCCTTACAAATCATTGAGGTCATTAAAAAAAAATTATGTAGTAGTTTTTGTTGTGGGGTGTATTCATTTTTGCATCAACTAATTTAAGTAAAACTGAAGATTTTGTCATCTAAGTTATATTATTAACCTTACTATCATGTAATGAGCTAAATAAATGTTCTATAAAATCAGTTTGATTGTTCTTGTGGTGTTTGAAATATTGATTAAAATCTTACTTTCAAAAGGGGTATACTCATTTATGCTGGTGTGTGTGTGTGTGTGTGTCACACACCATTCAGAAACTATTCTGACTCCCTTCACTTTTTCAATTTTTTTATGTTGCAGCCTGATGTTACGGTTGTTTAAATTATTTTTTTCTCATTAGTCTACACTCAGTATCCCATAGTGACAATGTGAAAACAGAATTTTAGAAATGTTTGCAAATTTATGAAAAAAGAAAAACTGAAATATCACTTTGGCATAAGTATTCAGACCCTTTGCAACAACACTGGAAAGTTAGCTTACATGCCTCCCATTTCTTTTGATCATTGCTGACATGTTTCTAAACCTTGTTTGGCGTCCACCTGTGGTAAATTAAATTGATTGGACATGATTTGGAAAGAGACGCGTCTCTCCATAAAAGGTCACAGCTGACAATACATACTGTATCAGAGCAGAAACCATGAGGTCAAAAGGAACGGCCTGCAACACTCAGACAGGATTATTGCAAGACACAGATCTGGAGAAGACTACAAAAAATATCTGCTGCACTGAAGGTTCCCATTTCTGCCAGTGGCATTGCTGAACACCCATAGTCATATGGTGCAATCTTTCATGCTCTATACATGATATTTTCTGTTTAGTACCACTCAAGTGCTTGTATTGTGTGTTAATCTCTACCCACGTATCACTCTCTTTAGTACTTTGAGAGTAGAATGTTTATGGAAAAGCAGCAGTACACAAGAATTATTTTACTCACTGCAGAATTTTACTGTTTTAAATGAATATGTGATATGAAGTAGAAAAAAAAATGGTTTGACATCTTTTTCCAGAATCTCACTAGGAACACTGCCATTGAAGTTGCAATGAATGTGAAGGCACTGCACAATGAAACAGAGTCTCTCTTGGTTGGGAGAGTACCACTGGTAAGTGTTTGTTTAGTAATTACTTACTGGATGCAATGTTCAGCAATAGCACAATTCTATATGCCATATTCACACATCATCTTGGTAATGGGTGGCCCACAAACAAGGGGGATGTATAGGTGCAGCTAAGGGGCAGGGAATAACTCAGCCATTTATGATTGTTCCAGAGCAGTGTCCGCTTCCTAGCAGGATAGCTAAGGTAGATTCGGACTAGCATCCAAACATGCTCATCCCTACTTAATGCCAATAAGATGTGGAAATCCCCTACTTACAAAAAAAAAAATCAACTTTGTTCTTTTACTTCTCAGTGCAAAAACTATCTAGCTGACTCTGATAGTCATTCACACTTCCTTCTGTCAACAAAAGTGGGGAAAAATAACCCCCCAAAAACTTAATGCTAGTATGTTTTTGTTATACTTTTTTTTTAAGATGACAATATGATAGCAAAATGGCTGATGGGTTTTTAATTACTCATTGTATTACAGCAGCTGGAATCTCATCATGAAGAGCTTTTGTCCAATGCACTGCATGACGTGGAAGTGGAGTTAACAAAGCTCGCAGAGATCCCTTGGCTGTATTATGTCTTACAGCCAGATGAAGAAGAGGTATGAAATCTCTATGTAATGGGTACAGGAACAAGGATGATGATGGCTTATAGCAACATCGGTTCATAAAAGTCCTAAAATGATTTACTTGCATGATCCGTCGGTATATATTTAAATTACAAATGACATTGATTGTTGTGAGGTTTTTCTTTTTGTTTTTTTTGTTTTTTTTCTTTTTAGTCTGAAGATTTTTGAATAGCCGTTTATCCTCTTTATTTTTAACAGGATCCTCCGATGGAATATACTAAAAGAAACAGTAGAAGCACAGTATTTCGCATAGTGCCAAAGTTTAAAAAGGAAAAGGCTCAAAAACATAAGACTAGCCCTCAGCCTGGTATGTGTTCTCTAGTCAAAATACTGATTGGCATGTTTATTATTTACCATCAGGGAATTAATTTAAAACTGACTTGTTTTCCTTCCTTTACAAGCCAACTTTGCAGACAGAATTTTAGGTTTCAGAAAAAAATCAAGGTTGTGAGACTATAAAGGGTGTTGCTGCAAACAGCATGAATGATGAAATCATTTTACATCTGGGGAGGACATCACTGCACATGAAAATGTTAATTTTACTTTTGCCAGATACCAGAAGGGCAAAGCACCTTATTGTTTATTTAAGAGATTTGATGTTGCAATTTCAGCCCTCCGATTCCTAAATTGGCAGAGCTATTGTACAGTTGCAAAGAGCTTCCAGTTTCCCTTTTGAATGATTCATCAATTTTATATTATTAAAATTGCAATAAGATGAGGGAGTAGTATAGAGAATCTTTTGAGATCAGTAAAAGCAAACTATGGTTGAAGGAACTCATTGAGAATTTCCAAGATTTGAAGTCAGGTTACCCCCCCCCCCCCCCCCCCCCTATCTATGTCCAAAATATCAGTGTTGGAAAAATCACAGAAGCTAGGTAGTAGCTATTAAGTCTACAAAAAAACTTAGAGATGATTTATGTTGTTGCTTTTGACAAATCAATCAAATGTTACCTCACATCTAGATGGGAATGGCTATCTCGTGTTTGAAGTAGAACCGTAACCAGGCTATGAGCTTTTAAGTATTTACTTATCCTTAACAAGCAGCAAGTAAACGTTAAATAAGCCCTAACTGACCTTTGTAGCTTTAGACACAGTTGATTCATTCATATTTAAGCCCCATTCACAGTTTATCGTTTTTCAGCTTGTTTCCCTATGCCTGACTATGCAACAACATACAGAGACCCATTCTTTCTAATTGTCCTTTTTCCAATTTTTTACGCTCAGTCTATGCATGCTCAAATAAATACAAGTTGAAGCGCTTGGTACACATGCAAAAAACAAAGCCAAATTGGGTTTTTGAATGTAGTACCCAGGGATGTTGAATTTATATCGCCCTGGCAGGTAGTTTTTTGTTGTTTGTTTTTTTTTTTTTTTTTTTTTAACCTTTAACCCTGCTGTGGGCAAGCGGCAGGGATTACCTGTAAGGTGAAAGCATTCGGACTCCGCTTGCCCATCTGCGGAACTGGTTCAGCTTGTGCCGTTGGCTAGAAGGGAGGGAGGAGAGCGGACATGTCTGCTCCCCTCCCCTTCTGACGTAGAAGTGACGTTATGTTGTCACTTGCTGGTCCCCATTGACAGATTTCCCAGCCATCGAGGCCGGAAAAGAATGTAATGCCATGTGATGTGCACTGCATTACGTTCAGTGGAGCACAGGGGAGACATCCAGGGTCTTTTAGACCTTGGATGTCTCAATAAAGAGAACCTGTCACCAAAAATCATCATATAGGGGACTTTTTATCCTCTATGTAATGAAAGAAGAACAATTAAGTAAAAACATTTTTTTTTAATTGTAAAAACTTAGTTACTGCCAAGCACTTAACCTCCCCTCAGAAAAAAATAATTGGAGACCCCCACATATACGCACGTACAAACGGAAAAGCACACGCTGGGGTGCCTACGTATGAAAACGTCAATTTCAATACACACGTTACATTTCACTGTGCATGCCAGAATGAGAGCAATAATTCTAGCACAAGACATCCTCCGTAACACTATATTGATGACCTATAAGGGGCGTTAAAAGTGTCACTTATAGAAAATTTTGAGTACTGAAGTTCATTGCCATTACACAAGCACATGCAAATTTAAGGTTTCACATGTTGGATATCAATTTACTCAGTGCAACCTCATCTTTTATATTTTACAAAAAAAAAAAATGGGTAATTTTATTGCTTTTTTGTGCTGTCTGTGGTAATATCCATAATAAATTGGAACTACCACTGTTTTATTCTCTAGGGTCTCTGCTTTCAGAAAATATATAATGTTTGGAAGGTTTGTGTAATCTTCAAGTCTAAAATTATTTTTTTAACTTGTGCAAAAAAACGGCTTTGGCAGCAAAAGGGATAAAGGATAAGCCGGACACTCCCCTTTCCTGGTGAGCACCCAATTGGTGCTCATTGTATTGCAAGGTCTCTCTCCTCCCTGCTAGTCCCCGGGTGCTGTGCTGGAGACAGGCAGGGAGGGGAGGAGAAGATAAAACAGCGCAATGTTAAACATATTAACTGTTTAAGTTGCCATAAAGTCCCTTTTGATTTCAAAAGCTCCAGACATTCCTAAAACATCTCAGATTTTATTAGTTTTGTTTAAAATGTATTAATTTTTTTTTATCTGGACATGTAGATTGTCATGAGGGACAAGTAGATTAGGACCCCAATTTAGTCCCTTGACAAGTAGTTTTTTTCAAAAATGTCCACACCCCTGGTAGTACCACACCACTACACAGACCTAGCATTTGGCTCACTGTTGCTGCAAGGCACCATTCACCGGGGCTATAATTTATAATTTTTGCCATTGCATACGTACATCCTCAAACAGCTGCCATATTATTTTAAAGTGGGCAGTAAAACTGAGGCTTAACTGCCTGGTTTTACTGCCCCTCACCCAATTCCCAACCCTTCCCCAAAACCGCAAGCATAAGGCACCTTTCACATGAGTAGTCCAATCAGGTCCTCCTATTCGTTTTTTAGGTGGTCCTGATCGGACCCTCCATTTTCCCTTACCACTTGCCCTCCTAAAGATTTATCCCCCTTTATGACCAGGCCATTTGTTGCTGTTCGGCACTGGGCTATTTCAGCTGGTAACTGTGCGGGTCGAGCAATAATGTACTTATACAAAATTGTTGTCCTTTTTTTTACACAAATAGAGCTTTCTTTTGGTGGTATTTGATCACCTCTGCGGTTTTTTTTTTTTTGGGCTATAAACAAGAGAGACCAAAAATTTTGATAAACAATATTTTTAACTTTTGGTTCAAAAAAATATCCAATAAACTCAGTCATAAGTTTATGCCAAAATGTATTCTGCTACATGTCTTTGGTAAAAAAAATAAATCCCAATACATGTATATTGGTTTGTGTGAAAGTTATAGTGACTACAAACTATGGTGTATATGTGTGTGTGTGTATATGTATGTGTGTATATATATATATATATATGTGTGTGATATGTGTATATGTGTGTATATATATATATGTATGTGTATATATATATATATATATATATATATATATATATATATGTGTGTGTGTGTGTATATATATATATATGTGCATGATATGGGTATATGTAGAGTAACACCCCAAAACACATTCTTATAATTCTCCCAAGTATGGGAATACCATATTTGAGAGGCTTTTTCAGCCTAGCTACATACAAGCTCCAAAAATCCAATGACTAACCCTCCAGGCTTTTAAAGGGCATATTTCCTTAAAATCACTTCCCCACTACCTATCACTGTTTCAGAGGCCCCAAAGTAGACACCCCAATGAATTTGATAAGAGGTATGGTGAGCATTTTACAGATATGTTTTTTTTCACAGGGGTTTGAAAAAGTAAAAGGGAAAAGAAAAAATACTTTTTTTTGTTTCATTCATTTTTCGAAAACAGATGGTAACAAATGAGATCTGCAAAATACTCACCATACCTCTTAGCAAATACCTTGGAGTGTCTGCTTTCCAAAAAGGGGTCATTTGGAGGGGTTGCTTCTACTATCCTGGCATTTCAGGGCCAACATTAGAAGCTTATGCCCCACATCACCCATTCTTGAAGACCAAGCCTTTTCTAACACTTTGTTCACATGAAAAAAATGGTTTTTTTTTTTTTTTTGCTAGAAAATTACTTTGAACCCTCAAACATATTTTTTTTTTTAAACAGAGGCCCTAGAGAATAAAATGGTGGTTGATTAAATTTTTATTTGCGCGGCAATTTTTCAAATGCAAGTCTTTTGGGAAAAAATACACTTTTTAATACACAAAAACACAATATATTACCCAATTGTTTGATAAGGTATAAAAGATGTTATGCCGAGTAAATAGATAGCAAACATGACATGCTTTAAAATTGCACATATCAGTGCAATGGCGACAAAATACATACATTGTTAATATCGATAGGTGACACTTTAAAAGCCTTTACAGGTCACCAATTTATATTTACACAGGAGGTCTAGTGCTGGAATTACTGCCCTCGATCTGATGTTCGAGGCGGTACCTCACATGCATGGTGAAACTGCTGTTTACATACTGGCACGGGGTAAACGCTTGTGCATGCAGGTGGGAGCAAGGGTGCTTTTTTTTTTTTTTTTTTTTTTTTTTTTTTTTTTTTTTTATAAATTTTTACACAGGCCTTTTCATTTTTTTAAATCACTTTTATTGCTATCACAGGGAATGAAAATATCCCCTGTGACTGCAATAGGCTTTGACATGTATTCTTTTTTGAGAAATCTGGGGTCTATTAGACTCTAGATCTCTCCTCTGCCCTTACACCACCAAGATCGGTGTGATCAGATGCTTTCCCAATTAACAAATGGTGCTGTTAAAGTTCAGTGAAATGGAAATGATCATAGATCATCGCTTAGATCATAGAGATGTTTGGAGCCATTCTGGTCTCTGATCAGCTCTATAGTCAGGCAGCGAAACTGCCAGCTGCATTCTCAGATTCCCCTGTGGGACAGGAGAGCCCAAGAATACTGTGGAAGGCGGCAGGAGGGGGGGATGTCTTTCCACTGCTTGCAAAAATGATTCAGCTGTTAATTGGCCACTAGGATTGTTTTTACATGAAAGCCAACCGCCAGCTGAAAAAAAAAAAAAAAAACGATACCAAGATGATGCCTGTAGCTGCAGGCATCATCACGGTATAACCACTCAAAATCCAGCGATGTACCAGTACATTGCTGGTCCTTGTTGGGCATATATGAAACAGCAGAGAAGATGGGCATATGAATCGGGTCTGTGGACCAATATGATCACAATTCATTCTTTTTTGTAATGCCCATGCTGAGGCTTAGGCCTAAACAAAGTTTTAAATTCAGAAA